ATATTTCTGGTAATGGTGTACAGAATTACCTGGCCATCCATACGGCTCATAGACTTAGTGAATGAATTAATTAGACCTGGTCCTTCATTTAACGGTTCTCCCAAAAGTTCAGCATTGGATTTGCCATGTGACTCCTCAGATATACCCAAGGAACTGAAATCAGGAACTCAAACATGTGGACACCAATCTTCGCTGCAGTATTGTTCCCAGCAGCTGACAGGCGAAAAGAGTCCGAATGTCCACCAACAGATGGACAATATGTAGTCTACTCATTCAGTAGCATAATATTCAGCAATAAAGAGGAGTTACCTTCTGATATATGAGGGGGGATAAAAAGAGGAAAAGAGCTGGCTGGGCAGAGCTTTCTTAGCACACATTTCTCCAGCTAGGGGAGCATCCAGCAACTCACTCTGAGTTAGTGCACCCAGTGGCATTGCCTGGGAACGTTCTCTCTGGTCATAGTGAATGTTTTTCATACAAGCAGTTTTGCTTGAACCTCGTTATTTTTGTGTGATGGCCGGTTTAAGAAAACAGGGTACAGCTGTGAAATTTTGTTTTCTGCTTGGGAAAAATGCTGGAGAATCTGTTGTGATGTTAAACATGGCTTACAATGGTAGCACTATGGAAAGAACTCAAGTGTACAAGTGGTTTTCTCATTTCAAAAAAGGTAAAATATTGATTGAGGACAAACCTCATTCTGGACACCTTTCAACTTCCTAAATAGACAAAATACCATCATCTCAGTGCTCTGGTTTTTGGCAAATCAGCATGCCTCTCTTGTCGCACACACCTTACTCACCTGACCTCTCTCTGTGCAACAAAATCCATGCACTTGTTCTCAAAGACTGACGATGGACCATTGAAGAGCTGAGAAACGTGCTGTGCTTTGAAAGAACAGCTGCAAAGTGACCCAGACTTTTTTCCAAGGTCATTACTGGTGATAAGACATGGTGCCCTTCATATGACCCTGAAGCTAACATCAGTCAAACCAGTGGAAGACACCATTGCCACCTCACCCAAAAAAAAGCCTGTGAAGTGAACTAAAGATCAAGACGATGCTCATTTGCTTTTTTGGTGTGAGGGGAATTGTGCATTTGGAGTTCGTTCCACCAAATCCGACTGTTAAGCTTTTTATTAAGAGGCTCTGGAAAGATTGCATAACATCGTGCAACCAAAAGAAGCCTGATTTGTGGCAGACGGAGGACTGCTTTTGCCACCATGACAATGCACCTGCTCACACAGACATCTCAGTGCGCCAGTTTTGGCAAGACATAGCATGCCTCTCTTGCCCCCCACACCTTACTCACCTGACCTCGCTCTGTGAAACTTCTTTTTGTTTCCACGAATGAAGAGGGACATGAAAGGAGAGTAATTTGATGGTATAGAAAAGGTGAAGGATAAAATGAGGGAGGTGCTGTCAGCCATCCAGACAGATGAGTTTGAAAAATGTTTCTAAGAATGGAATCACAGATTTGACAAATGTATTTAATGTGATGGAGAGTACTCTGAAGATGATACGTTTGTTTTGTAACAAGAAAAATTAAATACATAGCTTTGAAAAAAAATCCGGGTTTGGGGGGGTACCCACTTGTATTCTACAACTATAAAATATCTATAGAATAGATATAACCAGAAGCTTACCATTTTACCATGTATAATTAAAGATCCTTAAGCACATGCTAAGTGAAATAAGTCATAAGAGGGCCGACGTTGTGTGGCTCCGCGGATGGGCGAATGTGTGGGCATGAGTAGATACTACGTGGTCTGGATGAGGACGGGCGGGCAGAGCGGCACTGGGTTTCTGTTGGGATTGATGAATCTGGGAATTTTGATGGTTACCCAAATTGTGGAGATAATTAATGGTATTTAATGGTTAAAATGGTAAGCTTCAGGTCATATCTATTTTATAATAGACACTCATTAAAAACCTAATTTCACCAGTTTGGGGAGCACAGAGCTCACAGAAGCGCAGCTGAAGGTGTCCTCACTCCAGGGAAGCGCCTGAGCCCCCCACCCCAGTCAGATTACAGAGAAGAGAGAGCCCCTGATCCCCAGGGCAATGTTGGCCTTCCTACTGGCATGTGGGATGGGCTTCAAAGACCCCCATCATCCTTTGAGACCAGTTCTCCCGCACCTTGTCTCTTTGTGCCCTCTCAAGTCCCAGTCTGCCAGCCGGCATTGTCCGTGGTGAGTCTGTCTGGGTGGTGCCCGGCAGGTTGGGGAGAGCATGGGGAAGACCCAATGCTGGTCCTCCTAGTGGTGGGTCCGTTTCATATCCCTTAGTAAAGCCACTGTTTCAGGCTGGCAGTGTGGCTGTAACAGGAGATGGGGGCCTGTTGGCCCCAAATGAAGGGGCGGATGAAGTAAAGGGCCAGGTGGCCCAGCCTGAGCCCTGTGCTAGCAGAACAACCAAGCAGGGGGAAATTGCACAGACGTGTTTGGGCGACACCCTCCCCCCCCCCCCCCCCCCCCCCCCGCCCCCCAGCAGCCCCACGGCCCTCTGCAATGCTTCGATAATTGCTGTCTAAGTTAGGACTGCTCTGAAGTCGGGTAGTGCAGAGCAGTTATTAGCTAAGTGGTTAATAAGGTCTCATTAGGCACGTGTGTTTAAAGCCCTGAAGAGTACAGTCTCCATCTCTGCTAACTCGGGGAGGTGATCATTGTGCATGGGTATCGTCACACCTCTGTGCCTTCCTGGGAGAGCACCTCGGGGACAGATGACATCCTGGCCTAATGGAGATCGCCACCCAAGGGGCAGGGCCGGTGGGGAGAAGCTGACTGGCAGTTCCCCAGGGCCTGGGGTAACCATGGGCTCATCTGTCTCTCTCATTTTCATACAAGCCCACCAAGGGCTCTGTATTCTCCAGGTCCTACCCAAGGGGCCAGCGCAGAACATCAGGCAGACAGTGGCCTGTTGTCCACAGCTGTTTCTTGGAAACAGCTGTCCCACTTCTAGGCATGGCTTCTATGGCGGCTGTGTGAGCTCCCACACACTCGTGATGCTGTCGCTCCCAGGCTGGGAGGCAGGCATGGGAGGGCGCGCCCCGCAGCTGCTACCCAGAAGTCTGATGAGGTGCCCTCTGTCTCTGTCCAGCAGCCACGTTTTCCCTGAACCCCGCACACAGCCTGGAGTAGCTTGTTCTAAGCGGTGGGTCTTCGTGTTGGGCTTCCTTGAGGAGGCAGTGTACTATCTCTTGATATTACCACTCCCACCAGTCTGCTTGGGGGTCCCCTTTCCTGCTCGCCCCGCTGTAGTGCCTGTGCTTGGCAGGACTCAGATGAGTTGGCCTGGAGTCCAGAGGCTGGGAGCCTGCTGTCATTCGTCTTGATGCTCCTTGGACTGGCTGCCACTGCCCATCAAAGGCTTTCTGTTCTCGGCTCTAGGGTGGCCCAGCTGTGCCTTCCCAAGAGTGGTATGGGATTAGCTTGAGGGTGCTGCGTTGCCTCCTTGACGTTACCATGCTGTGTTGCATGGAGCACTGTCAGCCTTGGCCCAGAGGCCTGCTCTCTCTGGCTGCATCTCCCAGAAGCTAGTCTGTAGGGTGGGAACAAGGAAGGGGTTGTTGGATCTGGGGAGGTATTGACAGAAGCTCATCCCGTGTGGGTTGCCCCACCACCAAGAGGAGATGGCAGCAGTGCCTGGCTGGGCTGTCAGAGGAAGGGGGAAGCCCTGTGAGCGGTGTAGGTAGGGTTGGGCCACACTTTATCTGGGCATCACTTAGCCCTTGACAGATACATGGGAACCCAGGCTTTTGAAGTTGGGCATCACCATACCTTCAGAGCATAGGCGGTTAGCAGCCACTGCCCACTAGTCTGTGCCCCCTGGACCACTGAGCCAGCCTGGCCCCACACCTGCCTCAGGCACCTGCTCAGCACCCCTTCCTCCCTTCACCTGCCCAGTGTGGCCAGGCCACTCCCTCCCATTCCAGGCGCTGGTCTCGTATGGAGGGCAGTCTGTGGTCTGTAGTCTAAGGCCCTGGCTGGAGGGACCCAGGATAGACTCCCAAGAACACAGAAGCTGGAGAGCAGGCAAGGCATGCTGGGTGCAGGAGAGAAGAGGAAGGGGCAGTCAACTTCGCTCCCCAGTGCCTGCAAAGTGGCAGGCATGTGCACACATGCCCCGACTCTGGCCTTACTACCATCTCTCAGGAACCTGCACTCAGAAAGTAGAGCCTGTGGGCCACATCGCAGCGTTCGTGTGGGATAGAACCGTGTTCAAACCCTCCCCAGGTTTGCACTGCCCTCTCGGGAGACCAGGCCTCTGGAAGGACCAGCTGCCATTGGGTGTCTTCTAGTTCCTGGCAGCGTGTGATGGAGTAGACCCATACACAGAAACACCCCACCAGGCCATTCTTTGGTGTACTTCTGGGCGTCCCGGAACCTCCAACCTTGCGGTTTATGAACCGAGATCAGCATTGACCATTCGTGCTCTCCCAGGGAATCCCTTTGCAGGAGGGCCAACTGCGAATTTAACTTGTCTGTGAGCTGCTGCTTCCTTGTTTCTTTCTCTCCTCTGGGTGATGTCTCAGTGCCCCTCAGAGTGCAGGGGGACCGTGGCTACGCCATGTGCAAGCATTCTTGGTAATTAGCGCCCTGAGCAGCTAACTGAGAGGGGCGGGCAGGCGCCTGGCTGGGCTCTGGAGCCAGGCTCTGAACCATACTGAATTCGACATTTATTTGCTAAGTGATCTTGGCCAGATCCTTTCCTCTCTCTGGGAATTCCTCTCTCTGGGAATTCACTGACCCCCACCTGTAAACGAGGCCCCCCAGGAGCTCTTGGGGTCTGTCTCCCAGCCCCCTTCAGGGTTCCATGCCCGCTGTTTCTCTGCCTGTGAATCCTGTCTCCTACTCCTGGCTGCTGCGGCCCTCTGGGACTTCCGACACTGCTGGCACATGGGTGTGGCCCCCTGTCCCGTAGCCACCCCTCTGTGCCTCCCTTCTGGGTGCTAACTAGCCTCCCCCTGTGTCTGTCTCTGTCTCTCTGCTCTGCTCTCGGTTAGCTGACGGTAGGGCGAGTGTCCAGCGGCATAGGGGCTGCGGCTGAAGTCCTGGTCAATCTGTACTTGAATGATCACAGACCTAAGACCCAGGCCATCTCTCCCGACCTGGTAAGCACACGCGCCCTCCAGCTTCCGCCCCACCCCCACTCCAGGACACCACCCTAGGGCACTCCCGGAGAGGATGTGTGGCCAGCGGGGTAGATGCCCATCCTCAGGGGCTCCCCTTTCCCAGCGAGCCCTGGGAATGGGCTGGAGGAGAACAGAGGCTGGAGGGGGGTCCAGTTTCCTTAAGAGGAACCTGCTCAGGGCCCTGGCGTTAGAGCCGAGGGGCCCTTTCTCAGGCAGTGGATCCCGGGGCTCCTCCAGAGACAGACTCACCGGGGCCCAGATGAGGCCTGCCATGTCTTCAAAACCGAGAGGGTCTCTTCCCCCAATATGTTTGAACGAACTTGTTGCTCAAGATTCCAAGTACATTTCAGTTTGATTTTTCCTCCTTTTTTAAAAAAAGACACCTAGACCATTATTGAGGTCTGAGGGGTCAGGAAACTGGAGGGATTAATTCGGATTGGTTTTTTTAGATACACAGCCCATCTCAACAAATGAGGTCAGCAACAGTGTCCCGTTCAGTCCTCTATAAATGTGGCTCTCTGTTTTTCCTCCTCCCTCCAACCACCCTCAGTCTCCTCTCACTCCCCTCTCTCTTCCCAGCCTGTCCTCTAAGATAGACAGTGGAAAATCCTCTCTCTTCTCTGAATTCCCCTCCGCTCCAAGCAAGGTCGCTTGCTGCCATCACCGGCTATTTGGGTCCATGGTTTTTTGGGTTTCCTGTGGGCCCCACCCCAGATCAGCAGCCACCTGAGCCCCCACCCTGCCTCCCCACTTGCACTGGGAAATTTGACGGGTCGGCTGACTGCACCAGTGAGCTGTGGGCCTAAGCTCTTCTGGCTCTGTTGTCCTCATGAACAGTCTTGATGCCACTAGTTTCCCTTGCCCAGCTGGTCACGTGGCTGTGACAGCATCCTCACAGGGCCCATTTCAGGGGTTTACTCTGCTGGGACCGGTCCCCAGAGACAGTTTAGGGTTGATGTCACTGGACCAAACCAGAGAGCCAGCCTTGGAGAAAGCCTGGCCCCCTGCCTGCCAGCTGCCTGTCTGTCTGGAGGTTCAGCCCTGGCAGGGGGCCTCCGTATCCTCCTAGCCCACACTTGAAGTCCACAGGGTCCTCCCAGTACAGCTTGGAATCTCGACGGCCCACGATGTTGACCACGAGGGGCTAATCCTTAACACCCTACCCTTCTCTGCCCGTGCCCACCAGGATTGTGCACGCAAGGTGTGCCCCCCGAGCCTCGGAGGCAGCGACACCTGTTACTTCTGTAAGCGGCGTGTGTACGTGATGGAGCGGCTGAGCGCCGAGGGCCACTTCTTCCACCGCGAGTGCTTCCGCTGCAGCGTCTGCACCACCACCCTGCGTCTGGCCGCCTACGCCTTCGACTGTGAAGAAGGTAGCCCCCGGGCCCAGGGTGGCGCTCACCTCAGACGTGGGCTTGGCCCAGAAGCTGTCTCGAGAAGTGGAGAGGCCTTGGGAGAAGTCTCAGGCCCGTGGCAGGCCAGGCCATTGGAGGCGCCTACTATGTGCTGGCTGCTTTCCCTACCTTTTCTCCCATGGCCTCGCCCCTTCTCACTGCCCCTGCGTGGCTGAGAAAACCTAACCTGGTAGCCTAAAGGGTGGGCTCAGCCCCGCGGCAGGCATGCCATGAGCATTGAATACAGCCCAGCCAACCCACTGCTGTCAAGTCAATGCCAACGGATAGCAAGCCTCTACGCAAAGTAGCTGCTCCACAGGGTATCCCACGCTGCCAGACTTTACCAAAGCAGACTGCCTCCTCTTTCCCCCATGGCTAGTGACTTTAAACTGTCAACACAGCTGCTGGTGGCCCAGTGTTTCTCTCACTGCATTGCCAAAGCACCAAGAGTTCATGGCACCAAAGTGCCATGAAGTTGATTCCAACTTATGGCCACCCTGTCGGTCAGGGTAGGACTGCCCCTGTGGGCTTCCGCGGCTGTGCATATTCATGAGAGTAGAAAGCCCCTGCTTCCTCCCAGGGAATGGCTGGTGGTTTTGAACTGCTGACCTTGTGGTAGGCAGCCCAACATGCCACTAGGGCTCCCTAAGAGTTTAATTAGTAAGTGGTGGCATATTACTATTTGTATTATTTATAAAGTATGTGCTCTAAAATCAGCCAGAGTACAAACTCCTCCCCTCTAATAGGAGACCCCAGGCAGCTGGAGATGGGGGTGTTCATTGACCATGGGTGATGGCACTTGATATTGGTACCTTGTCGTACAAGGTAGCTTCTGAAAACGCGTGGACAATTTCAACGATCTTTTAATACCCTTTTCCCACAAACTCCTCGAAGCCCCTTTCTATCATGAGAGGCAGTGCCACCTTGTGGGTACAACCATGTCCCTGCAAACTAAACTGCCTGGGTTCAAAGCCAGGCTGCCCCCCTTCACTGTTAGCCATGGAGTAGAACCTTGCTGAGTTGCTTAATCACTTGGCCCCAGAGTGTCCTCAGCTGTAAAACAGGATGTTGAGAATGTCCATCGTCTGAGTAAGGCAGTGATGAGGATTGATGTGCTCATTCCTGTGGCACCACAGGCAGAGCGCCTGCTAGTGGTGGTCTGGTGGTGGTGTAACCATCACCCCTGCTATCTGAGCTTAGCCTTCCCAGAAAGGGGCGGTGGCGCTGCTCAGGCCTGTGCACTTGGCTGCCTTGTGAAGAAGTGTGGCCGGAGGATTTTGTGGGCATTTCTGCCCCGGCCCCAGCAGTCGCCCGGGCCCTGCTGCCTCCCCTCAGGGCCACCTCTTGAAGGTAGTTGTTGGCAGAAACCACGTCCCAAGCATATTGTTAGCCTTTGGGGAGCCAGAGGCCGGATTACCCCTTGTGTCTGCAGTGCCTCTGGGTTGCAGGAGGAAAAGCCTTGGCATGTGTGTCTCTCTCTCTCTTTACAGACAAGTTTTACTGCAAGCCTCATTTCATTCACTGTAAGACCAGTAACAAACAGCGCAAGAGACGGGCTGAGTTGAAGCAACAAAGAGAGGTAGGTTGTTGTCTCACCTGTGCTGGGGAATCAGGGAAAGGAAGGTTCTCGAGGTCCCTTAAAACGTTGGGGCCAGTGGTTTAGGCCCTGGAGGGACCACCGAGACGCAGATAAAGAAGATCCTTAGTTCCTGCTGTGGGCAGTCCCTTGGCTGTGCGGTAGAGCCCGGATGCTGCCTGGTTCCAGGTGCCACCCCCCCAGACAAGAGCTTTCCCAGGTGCCGGGTCTAGAACCGTCTCCTCGGCCACGTGAGCGCTATGCGGCACCTCTGTGGCTGGGACCCACCTGACCACAGGGATGTCTGCTACAGGGCTCCAAGTCTCTTCCCCAGGCTTTCAGGTGTCAGCAAAGTGACCAGGCCCCTGAGTTTATGGATGACTTTATGATAGTGCCCCCCCCCCCCACTCTAGCCCTTCTTAGCAGATACCGCTTTCTGCTGCCTGGATCTCCCACCACCCACAACCTAAAACATTTTCTAATCACACAGCAATATAGACTCAAAGAGGAGACTTGGGAAAGAAAATCAAAGCGTATAAAGAAGGAAAAGTAACTCACCCATAATGGCTCGACTTGAGAAATACGTAATTAATATATGGTAGCTCCCCACTCCAAATTTGTCCCCAGATTTTAACCTACGTGTGAATCTTCCTAAGTCTACCATCTTACAACTCAACCCCACCCACCCACCCAACAGCCTATAAAGAGGAGCTTCCAAAGACATTAAAAATCCTATTGGAACATAATTTTTAATGCCTCAAAATGACTATTTTATGGATGCTTGAACATTTATTTAAGTACTCCTGTATTGTGATAGAAGGAGCCTTGGTGTCGTATTGAGTTATACGTTGGGCTGCTAACAGCAAGGTCAGCAGTTCGAAACCACCAGCTGCTCCATGGGAGAAAGATGAGGGTTTGTTCTCCTGTAAAGGTTTATAGCCTCAGAAATCCACGGAGGCAGGTCTACCTTGTCCTTTGGGGTCGTTCCGGGTCAGAATCGACTTGATAACGGTGAGTTTTTAAGATTGTATTGTTAGACTTTCATGTTGTTTAATTGTTTGGTTTGCGCTATAAGTATTTCTTGCAGCAAATATCGCTGTATTCATAGCTCTCCCTGTCTTCCAACGAATAGACTTAGGATTTATCATGAGAGGGGGATTGCTAGGTCAACTGGCAGGCCTAGTTTGAAGACTCAGTTTGCCCACCCGGAGAGTGGTGACTCGATTTGGCAGCCCCAGCTGCAGTGAATGGGAGGCTGAGACAACCCGTGGGGCCTGGCGGCATAATCCAGGTCATAACCATGGTCAGTCGTGATTGGCCCTCTCAGCTCCAGTGGCAGGGGCCCTGTGTGACCAGCGTGGACTGAAATGCGTGCATTCTGATCTCGTTCCCAGGAGGAGGAGCCGTGGAGCGATCAGGAAGTCCCTCCTCGAGAAATTCCCACGGAAAGTCCTTGCGCAGCTGTAGCCATCAGCACCCCCGAAGGCAGCCCCCCAGGTATCACCACTTCCTTCTTTAGGAGTGTGCTAAGCCAGCTTCTCAGGGTGCCCAGGGACCTGCTTGACATTCCCTGGAACCTCCTTGATTGGATGCAGGGGCTCCTGCGCCACGCCGGCGTCCATGTCAGGGACCATGCGCACGACTACTGCTACACATACGAGCTCCTGAGCCTGGGCCTGCCCCTCCTCTGGGCCTTGTCAGAGGTCATGGCCTCCATGTACCAGGAGGCCGGGGCCTCCCTCGAGAGCATCCGCAACTGTCTGCTCAGGTGCTTCCCTGTCAAGCTCCACTGACCTCCGTGCCCGCCCCAAGGCCTTAACTGTCCCGGGGCAAGGTGGTCATCACGAGCCAGCCGTGGTAGACAGCTCCAAGCCAAAGAGATTCACCTTGTCGTCTCCACCCGTCCTTGCCTGGGTACGCGTATGCTCACAGGGCTGGGGCCCAGGCGGGCAGGAAGATGAAGGATGTGTTCTGTAGCTTTGTACTTCTTTTTTTATACCAAAACGAGCCATACGTCTGGGTTTACATTTCAATTTTTAACATTTAATTAGCCAAGAAAAAGCTTTTTTTTATGATGCGTGTCAAGTTTTCTGAACACGAGTTTGAGTTTCATAGCTGGTCTGAATACCTTTGGTGTGGCCATGAGTCCGGACGGTCACTGCGTGCCAAGCTCACGTTTGGGGTCTGACAAGTGCCTTTAAATGCCTGTACCCAGATGTCATTTTCAACGAGGGGCAACTTCTGCTGCATATAAAGTGTCATCGTGTGACCAGCATTGTTACCAGTCCACCCTTGTTGGGATGTCCACAAGTAGCTGAAAGGGCCCTTGTTGAATACCAAGTCACAGCCAAATGCCACCGAGCCACAAGGCGGGAGGGAGCCAGAAGGCCATTTTCCCTTCCCGCTAACGAGCTGCATAGCCAGGAGCATGTAGCCACCTGGAGCCCCCGCAATCCGAGATGATGCTGAAATTGGAGGGAACACTGCGGGTGGCTCTTTAGCCCCCGGACCTCCGTGTCGGCTCCCCAACCCTGTCTGCAGGCTGAGCCAAAGCCACTCAGGGTTCAAAGCAATCGGACTGAGCAGGAGGGCTGCTTCCGCCCACGGCATCCTTTGGGACTGAGGGTGGCTGTCAGCACTTCAGGGTGTGGCTGGGATGTCTGGCCTGCCCTGCAAGCACCCCCACAGCCACCTTGGCTGCTCAGCTATGCACAAGGCTGCCAGGAGCATTTTCCCCGAATTTTTCACCGTGCCTGGGACAGGCAAGTTCACTGCAGCTTAACGTACAGGGAGTCAGAGCCGTTTACGGAGTGAGATGCCTGAAAGAGGTCCAGGGCAAAAGCTGGCTGTTGGGCCTTTGGCATTCTTGACCCTGAGTCTCTGCACTCTGCCTCACTGCAGCCAGCCATGGGTCTACACTGGAAGGCTGCAAGGCTGGTAAAGAAGGCCCCAGGGCCCACAGACGAGGCAGTGGCTGAGCCCAATATGGCCCCGTGCGGCTGGGGCAAGCCATGCTCCCCTGACAGCCAGGAGACCCCCGCTGGTGGGCACTGGAGTCACCCCTCTGGAGATTGTTCAGAACAGGAGTTTCTAGGGAGTGGGAGGAAGAAAGGGGGCATCTTCCTACATTGGCCAAAGTCCTTGGGGGAGAAAACAGACTGGCTTGTGGCACCTCTGGCCTCGTCGGAATGCTTCTCTGTCCGTCTGGTGACTTCCGCTGTGTTTTGCCTGAGTTTTCTATGTTCACTGACTGAGGGTGGGGACAGGGGGAGCCCCGGTCTCCTTGCGTGTCCGAATGTACGTACTCCCTTGAGACTGTGATGTCCATATAAGCACTGCTCACGGGGCCTGACAGCTGGGGATTGATTGGGGGAGGCGCTTTGTGGGTAGGATGTGCTTGAAGCCAGCAGAGCTAGAAATCTCTCGGAACGTCATTTCTGTCCAAGAGGAGCCGGGTTTGCCTTGCTGTGGTAAGGCGGGATGCTCCTGCCTGAGGCCGGAGATGTTTGTGTGCTCAGAGCCCTTGAACCTTCCTGGTGGGAAGCACCAAAGCACGAAGATCAGTCCCAAGTAGAGGCCTGGGGGTGGGGGTGGGGGCCTCTCTATGCCTCCATGCCATATTCAAGGATGGAGATGAGACCCAGAGGAAAAGTGGGCAGAGAGAATATCGCGGGGCTCGCAGCTTCCAAGTGGAGGAGAGTGGGCCGTTAGCTTACACACGCTACGGGGAGGGGTCCCTCTTACACAATGTAGCTGTCCCTACCAGGAAGGTTCATGTGTCCTGAGCGAGCAGAAACCGGCTGGGGATATGTCCTTTGAATGCAAACGAAAAATGTTTACTTTGTATTTTCAACGCCTATGCCTTCTCACGTCAGCTGTTTCTCTTTTTCCTCCCAGCCTAAGTTCTCTCTTCTGTCTTTCTCTCTCTTTCCAACCTCACACTGTGGCCGTCAGTCCATTTCAGCCTGCCCGTGCTGCACCCACTTTTTGGCTGATGCCCTTCTGCTCTGAGGTGACTAGTTTTCTTGCCAGTTTCCCGAGTGTTGCGTTAACCCCTCCCCGCCCGCCACCGTGGTACTGATTGCGCTGTGAGTGTCTCGCCTACTAACGGAGCCCTTCGGTGGCCTGGCCACTTCGCCACAGGGCTGGGGTCTGCTGGAAAGCCGTTTCTGATTCCATCTCCCTCTGAGCCAGCCTCCGCCGTCGTGGTCCGCACCCCAAGTGCATGGCCGTCCTTCTTGGGTTCTCGGGCTGCCCGCATGCTCCCCATGTGCCTTCTGGGTGGGAAAGTTTCCCGCTGCGGAGTTGTGAGACAGTCACCCACTCCAGTCTAGAAACTTCCGCGTTAGCAGCCTTGCCCTGTTAACCTCCCTAAGTTGGTTCTAACACTAGCTCACTGATGTCCCCCACAGGGCATTCCCTGGGGAGAGACGTAGAAAAGGGAGCAGGGTGGGGGGTGGGGAAGCTGTTCTGAGGCTTTGTCCAAAGCCTGCTCCCAGCTCTGTCTTTTGAAGTCGTGCTCACCATGATTCCAGCAAATCCCTCTCTCCCAGAGGCTGGCCTTTTTAATCTCCCTCCATTTCTAAAGCCCCCGTGGCCTGCGAAGCTTCCCCTAGAGCAGTCCCCGTCCCAGGCCAGGCGAGTAGTCTGTGAGATGAGGCAGTCCAGTGCCAGGCCTGGGGTGGCCGATTTCAGCACGCCCAGAGCTCAGTTCAAAGCATGCTTTCGGGACCTCCCTGTGCAGTGGAGCTGTTGTGGGCGGAGCCGAGGGACCCAGGCTGCGGCTGCTGTCTGCTCTGCATGCGCCCCTCGGTCTGGCTGCAGCGCCCCGCCTGCTTGCCTCCGGGCTGCGTGGCTGCAGCCCCCAGCCAGTCAGAAGTCACTGCTCCTGTCTTCTCTTACAGAGTCTCCCTTCCTCGCTAGAATGTCCACCAAAGACTGTCCATCCCGCCCCCCTCAGCCTCCTCTTTAGCTAGCCTCCCCCAGCTCATAGCAGCGCATGTGTGTGACCTCTGGTTGTCATTTACAGTGCCACACGGAACCCTTGTATTTTGCACACAGCCAACAATATGTAGCTCTATTTATGGTATTTGATGCTGTACATGAAAATAAACATGGTTCTTTATAAAGCTCACTGTTTCCTCTCTTCTTTGCCGTGGAAGCTTCTAAGAAACCTCAAGCCCGGGGACTGGCTTAGGGGATCCACCTCCCCTAAACTGTTGGCAGGGCTTGTACTTGCGGTGACACGGGGCTCTCTGGGGCTACGCTGGGGCACTTGGGGAACAAGAAATATTACCCAGAGGTAATATTTGGAAAACGTCACCAATGCTCCTGGGTCAGGCTTTGGGGTCTCTTTCTTGAAAACTCATCGTACTTTTCTGCTCTAGATGCTGGCCATAGCGGGGGTAAGGGTGAGCGTCACCCCAGCTTTAGGAACAGAATGTCTGACAGCTACTGGTCTCCCTATGCACCCTAAGCCACAGACCTGCAGGGGAGCTGTACTAACCGAGGTCCCAAGGTAGCCAAGGCTGCTCTTGGAAATTTTCTGCTGGACCAACTGAGTGATGGGTGAAAGGTAAGGATGGCCAATTTGTGGCAGGGCATCTGTGAACATGACCCATGTGGTCCTCTAAGTGAAGAGCCAGTGGAGATCCTAAGAGACCCTCCCTTGAAAGGACTAGGGATTTCAATGTCTTCTGCCCACTCTCAGTACTGAACCCCTGGCAGGCTTGGGCCCAACTCCAGGATGTATTTGGAGTCTCACTTGGCTAACCAGGGCTGTGCCAAAGAAGGCTACTCGTTCCCACGCTGGTCCTCCACCTCCCACAGCAAGGTGCCTGCCGTGGTCATGCTGGATCTAACTGGGCTTCTGGCACTGATGTGGCCGGCCACCTGTGAACTTCATGAGGGGCTTGGACTGTCCACGAGGCGTTTCAGGGCTCTGAGCCTCGGAGCCCTGTTTCTGACACCTGGATCTGTCTTCAGAGCTGCCCCAGATCCTAGACAGTAACCCAGGTGTACCTGTCCCCTTCCCAGCAAGGAAGGTATTAGGGATTGGAAGTCAAGATCGGAGTTGGGCAAGTGACTTACTGCCTCACTAATTCAACAAGTAGGAGAGCACTTCAACAAGTTCCTGGGCAAAGTCCTTATCTTTTCATCCCTTTTTTTTAAGCCCCTTCAAACTTCAATCAGTGTCCTAACATTCGCTCTTAAGGCTAGAGCTGTGAACCAAACAAAATCCCTGGCCCTCCTTATATCTTAGAGATGATCGGTTTCTTTGTCTGTTTGTTTGTTTGTTTTGCTAGACCTGGTTTGTTTCTGTCGGTAGTATTGTTGATTTGTATGTGCGCTTGTTTGTCCCTTCAACTAATATTTATTATTTATTGAGTGTGTTAGTTTGGGTTGACTAGAGAAACAAATTCATAGACACCCATATGTGTATAAGAAAGAGCTTTAGATCAAAGAGTAGCTGTATATTAAGAAAACATACCAGCCGA